CTTCTTACCCCAGGCAAAGGCATGTGGGCCATGCAGGAATCAGCATGGAAATGTGCATGGCTGAATGTTGTTGAGCTGCAGTTTAAATATTGCTAGGAAAAGGAGGAAGGGGATGGCCTTGGGGACAAGGCTGATCTGTGCTTTGGGTATTGCATTCTCAGGCAGTAGATCCTAAGAGAGCTCCTTAGAGAGCTAGCCAGTCCTTTGTGGTTCTTTGTAGCACCTGTTGGTGTGGCTTTGGCTAGAGCACTATTCTCCTTGGGAATATTTAGAAACCATCTCCTCTTTAAGGGGGTTATTTTTCTCAAAATGTTTAGGGCAAATAACATTTCCTCAATGTGAGAGCGTCCAGTGACATAGAGAGGCAGTGAGGTCATTGGCAGTTGAAGGCAGACCAACGATGGTAAGATCAGCCTGTCCTTCTTGGTTTTGGGGTGTGGCAGCTGTCAACATGAAGGGCAGAAAATATGGGGACATGCAACCTAGGGACAGGTGTGAGAAGTCTGCCAGAAATGGGACTTGAAAGTCTTAGTAGCCAGGAGAAAAATGAGTGTCACCAGGACCTGCCTTACTACCCCATTATCCATTTGCCTACATGGCCTCCCTGAAAGTGTGTAGATGGCTGGAAGGAAACAGCCTAATGGGAGAAGAGCTTTCCCTCTCTCACTTCTGTACTAGCCAAGCCAATGTTTACCAAGGTTGCAAAAAACTTGGACTCCCACATGACCAACCATGGGTTAAGTCCTGGACCTGGCAGCTTGCTTTCTCTCTCTCTCCCTCTCCCTCTGTCCTTCTCTGGTCAAATTAAATAAATAAATAAATTTAAATAAAATGATTCTTTAAAAAAAAAAAGACAAGGGAAAAAATGAGGGTCAAAGATGCTAGCTTACTTTGCTTTTGTAATTGTTTTGTTTCAATACAGGGAGAAATCACATGTTTAGGAATTAAACAAGTGATGTTGACTAAAGGCATCTGCCTAGAGCTCAATGAGACCTCCAGCTGTGTAAGTCAACCCCCACCTAATCGTTCCTCCTTCCCATCATCCCTCCCAACACTTTAGTCCATCTCAGATTGGACTGGACTTTGAGAGGTCCTGGAATATAGTGTGGTTAAGATGCTTCTGATACTGAGTTTTAGGCTTAGGGAGTCAGAGGCCCCATCTGGTGGGCAAAGAAGGCAAAACCATTTTTAAGTAAATTTCGCTGTTATTTGAGGCTGTCATATTTAAGTTTGCTTTTATGTTAAGAAAATCTCACTGTCCAGATATAAACTAGTTACTAAAAATGTTAGCTCTTTTGTTATTATTTACGTAAAACTCTTTAGTTCATGCAGAATTTATTTTGCTATAATATAGTATTTTCCATATAACCATTTTCCCTACCATTATTTATTGAATGATCTCCTTTTTATTGGGTTGATTATTTTAGTTTGTAGGAAGTTTTTATATGTCCTGGAGCATATTCTTTGAGAGATATTTTAATGGGGACCAGCAGTTAGCGTAATGGCTATGTCGCTGGACTCCCATGTAGTCTACCGCAGTTTGTGTCCCAGACCCGGTGGCTTAAAACTCACGCCGGGCGCATGTGCATGGTGCCCAAGATCCCAAGAGGAGAATGGAGGAGAAGGAATTGCGGCGTGACCATCCCCCCTGGGGGGTGATTTCTCGCTTTCTGTCTCTGTGTCTCTCTCTCTGTCTGTCTGGCGAGCACACGCGCCCTATAGCGAAAACCTCTCCAAAAAAAAAAGAGAGAGATTTTATTTATTCAATCTGTCCATACTTCTGACTGTTGGAATTTTTTTTTTTTATATTTTACTTTTAATACCAAACCAGGTAGGTCTTTTCTCATTATACTATAAAAAGTATGTTTTTTTATCTTTTGTTTTAGAAAATCTCTAGAAACATCTATCAACATTAACAAAATTAAAATGTTTTTAAAACATTAAAAAGGTGGTGTGGTAGTTAAGGTGCTGGACACTCCCACATGGCCGACCATGGTTCGAGTCCTAAATCTGGTGGCTTGGTTTCTTGCTTCCACTCTCTCTCTCTGATCAAATTAAAATAAATGAATGAATAAATAAGGTTAAATAAATAATTCTTCAGAAAAAACACTAAAATTTTAATTGCAGCTGCTCTAAAATTTATGTTTTGTGATCTTTCCCTGGATCTTTCAGCTTCTTGACTTTTTAGTTTATATTTTTCTCCTATAGGTTTGATGGATTTTTTTAAAGGTTTTTTTATAACACAGATTTCTCCTTATGTATTCAAATTGATTATTGCTTATATGTTAGAATGTTAACAGAGTTTTGGTTGTCTTTATGTTTTTAAGAATTATTTATTTAATATTATTCTCCTTTTATTTATTTTTTAAAAATTTGCTATAAGGCATTGCGTTCATCAGAGAGAGACAGAGAGAGAGAGAGAGAGAGAAAGAAAGTGAGAAAACAGCCTTTCAGTAATTAACCAAAATGACAAAAACGAAGGGAAAGAAGAGAGACACCCAATACATGTTTTCTAGGCCTTTTAGAAAACATGAAGTGGTTCCTTTGACAACATATATGCTAGTCTTACAAGAAAGATGATATTGCAGATATCAAGGGAATGGTTACTGTTCAAAAAGGAATACCCCACAAATGTTACCATGGCAAAACTGAAAGAGTCTACACTGTCACCCAGCATGCTGTTGGCATTGTTGTGAACAAACAAGTTAAGGGCAAGATTCTTGCCAAGAGAATTAATGTGCGTATTGAGCATGTTAAACATTCTAAGAGCAGGGATAGCTTCCTAAAATATGTGAAGGAAAATTACCAGAAAGAGAAAGGTACCTGGGTTCAACTGAAACTCTAGCCTGCTCCACCCAGAGAAGCACACTCTGAGAACCAATGGAAAGGAGCCTGGGCTTCTGGAACCAACTCCCTATGAATTCATGACATGATGGGTGTTAAAAATAAACTAATCTATGGTCTATTTTTTAAAAAAGAAAGAGAGTGAGAAAACAAGTTGCCTGGTCCAGAACTCAAACCATGGTTGGTCATGTAGGAGTCCAGCGCCTTAACCACGACACCATCTGCTGGCCCAGTCAATGGAGTTTTTAATGATTATCTTGGGTTTGACCATTTGCCTGAACTTGGTTAAATTTTTTTTTTTTTTGGAGAGGTTTTTGCTATAGGGCACATGCGCTCGCCAGACCGAGAGAGACAGAGAGACAGAAAGAGAGAAATCCTACACCAGCGGGG